TTTGAGGCAGAGTCTCACTTTGTCGCCCTCAGGGGAGTGCATGGCGTCACAGCTCACAGCAACCTCCAACTCCTGGGCTTAGGTGATTCTCTTGTCTCAGCCTCCTGAGTAGCTGGGACTACAAATGCCCACCACAATGCCCAGCTATTTTTTTATTTGTTGCAGTTTGGCTGGGGGCCGGTTTCAAACCCTCCACCCTCCGTATATGGGGCTGGTACCCTACACACTGAGCTACAGGTGCCACCCTTAACTTTGATTTTCATCTGTAAAATATGTCCAAGAATTTTCTGTTGTGTTTTAGGCACTTTGAATATTATCTTTTGAATATTAAAATCCTCTGGAGAATGGTTTTTGTTTGTTTGTTTTGTTTTTTTTGGCAGGGCCTCAAGCTGTCACCCTGGGTAGAATGCCATGGCATCACAGCAACCTCCAACTCCTGGGCTCAAGTGATTCTCCTGCCTCTGCCTCCCAAGTAGCAGGGACTACAGGTGCCTGCCACGATGCCCAGCTATTTTTGGTTACAGCCGTCATTATTGTTTGGTGAACCTGCCAGCTCTGGTGTATGTGGCTGGCGCCTTAACTGCTTGAGCCACAGGCGCTGAGCCAAGAATGGTTTCGTTTTGATTTGATTTGGGTCTTGTTTGTTTTAGCAAGCGGTCAACCCAGTTAGGTTCAGACTTTGCTCTGGAGGCTGTAAATCCAATTCAGATTTAATTTTTAAAAACTTTGTAGTGCTGTTCAGGTCCTAGGTGTGTGGCTTTGAGATCTGGGTGGTAGTCCATGTTGTAGAGCAGGTCTCAAGCCTTGGCTATGTAGCTCAGTGGTGCATTCTAGATTGTATACACAGATTTAGAGGACCCTTCTCCAACCTCCTCCTCCCTATGATTTCATTTGTATACAAGGTCTCAGGAGCTCCTATTCCATGGTTCTCTGGCTAGAGACTCTTAGCTTCTGTGTGCTTTCATACACTTTCTGCAGAAAGATCCATTTCCTGGACAAAGAGGTGAGAGAAAAGGCAGAGAAAAAAATACATTAGTTCTCTTCTTCTTCACATCATTGTCTCTTTACAAGTTCTTGTGTCAAGAGAACTTTCTCTTGGGAGTTTAGATGACTGCCATCAGCCACAGGTGTGCAGTCTAACTGGGACTTTCTCGAGGCAGAGCTGAGAGAGGAAAAATTGCCAAGTATCCCCTCCTCCTGGCCTCGGCTCCCTTGATCTCCCCCTTCCTGGTTCTCTAGCCAGGAGTTTCTCTTGGAGCTTTTTTCTGTCTCCACCTACTGCTCACTTAGGGATTTGGTCTGTCCTCACATCTAAGCCAGAATATGTAGGAGGAAAAATAAAAAGTAGGAAACTTACTGCAATTTGAATCTTGATTTTTCTCCCCAATCTGCTTACTTCTGTTTACTTTTAAGACTCCTTGTGTATTTATGTATTTCTCTTCAGAATTTTTAGTTGCAATCAGTGGCCAAAATAGGGTGAACTGTTTTCTCCATCTTAGCTAGAACCAGAATTCCATCTGTAAAATATGAATGTTAGAAACACCAGGGAGCTTTTAAAAGTACTAGTGCCCAGGCTATATCTCCAGTAATAATTATTTCAGGGGTGGAATTCAGGCATCTGTATTTAAAAGTTCTCTAGGTTTTTGTTACTCAAGGTATAATCTAAGGACCAGTGATGGATAGGAGTCACCTGTGAACTTGTTGGAACTATAGACTCAGTTTTTACTCTAGACTTACGCAGAGCAAGATTCCTATGTGATTTTCCTGTGCACAGAAAAGTTTGAGCATCACTGCCCTAGGCTGATTCCAATGTGCAGTCAGAGTTGAAGACCACTGCCTTATACAACTGTGTAAAAGCAGGTAACTTGTAGGTAAAAGAAACTTAGGTTATAATGTGCTCTGAATTTAAACTCATTAGATGTAAGCTGAGCTAGTGCCCCATGTGTTCTGAGTCCCTGGTGAAATAAATTATCTTTGATTAGAACCACAGTTTTGGCTTTGGCTTCAAATCAGATTTGTTGCTTTGGAAGCCAGTTGCATCCCAGCTCTATAAAATCTTCAGACATTCATCCCTTTCTTCAGAACATACAACCTTCTAACCCGAGCCTACGGGTTTTTTAATTTATTGTTTTTCTACTTTACCTTAAACCACAGATCCATAAATACCTAGTTTCTCTATAACAGCAACTGTGCCATCATGTCCAGAAGTCTTAGCCCTTCCTGTCAAGGACAGAACATCCATGCATAATTGTAAGTAGTTTTCTACCAATTAGAGAAAGGCCAGAATGTTGCCTCCCTTTTGCTTCTTTCCAAACATTCATGTCAGGGAAAAGACTCAGGTTGTATTTAGCATTTTTTCTTAGATGCTCCTTTAGAGAAATTGTATTTTCTTGCACACTTCTGATAAGAAAAGAGAAAGGGAGGGTGGCGCCTGTGGCTCAGTGAGTAGGGTGCCGGCCCCATATACCAAGGGTGGCGGATTCAAACCCAGACCTGGCCAAACTGTAACAAAAAATAGTCGGGTGTTGTGGCGGGTGCCTGTGGTCCCAGCTACTTAGGAGGCTGAGGCAAGAAAACCATCTAAGCCCAAGAGCTGGAGGTTGCTGTGAGTTGTGAAGCCACAGCACTCTACCAAGGGCAACAAAATGAGATGCTGTCTCTGGGAAGAAAAAAGAAAAGTGTAAGGGATTGATGAGAAAATCCCTTACTGCTAAGATTTGTAAATTATCAAATTAATCCTGGTAGACAATAAAATATTTTCACAGCTGTGCTTCTGCCACTACTTCATTTATCTGGACAGGTGTTAACATTTTGGTTCATATTAACTAATTAGGTCCCTGCTTCCTATGACAAAGTTGAGCTACTCATTAAATTAAAAAAAAATCTTTATTCCAATTTGATTCCAAAGATCAGGGATCAATACATTAAGTCTATAGGTGATCGATCAATCAAGACTGGGATCTAAGTCCACAATTCAAGTCCTTTGTATTTCTCAGAATTCTGGATTTTGGCTCGGCGCCTGTGCTCAAGTGGTTAAGGCACCAGCCACATAACACCTAAGGTGGCAGGTTCAAATCCAGCCTGGGCCCGCCAAACACAGTGATGGCTGCAGCCAAAAAAATAGCCAGGCATTATGGTGGGCACCTATGGTCCCAGCTAGTTGGGAGACAGGCAGGCGGCTTGCTTGAGCCCGGGAGTTGGAGGTTGTAACCAAGTATTAATATTAAAACATAGCATGTTAATATTCACTCTAAAACTCCACGTGGCCTCCTATCAGTTCAGATCAAATTTATGGAGAAACTTCAATTTATGGAGAAACTTCTGGTTTTAAGAGATTGGAAGTAGAAGCAATATGGATACTATCTGAGAGATAATGAGGTGGCAGAATTAAAAAGATTTGTCATTCAAAATGATGGTGAGGGAGAGGTAGAAATAATGTATATGTTTTGAAATGGCAAATATAAGAGCAGATCGAAGATGATTAGCTCTACTGTTATTTGCTGAGTTTCGGGTCTGTGTGTAATGGCTAAGTTGAAATGATCATCAAGGATCTGGAACTCCAGGAGATAAGATCTCAGGTATTGCTTAGGCATGGGCATATAGACCTATCCTTTTTTCTGTGGAATACTGAGCAGATAGATGTTTAGGT